TCACCTGCATTATGTATCTCTTAAAATTTTGTGGCACTCAAATGAGAAAGCAAGCGAAAATATTTGGAGAAACCAAAGGGCTCTCTATGCATGGAATGATGCAATACAATTTTTAATCATCAGCAGCATTAAAGCCCAAGAAACACTAACTTATTTAAATTTCTCTAAATCAACCAATGCATTGAATTAAAGATTAAAGACAAGGATAGGTCATGCTACAGCTTAGCATTTTTTATAGACAATTGGGTTATCATCTCGACCAATTCTAGTTGGTGGGACAGGTTCCTGGGAGTCCAACTCCAGACTGCTCCTAAAGAGTCTCACCTGAAATTCGGATGTGTTTGGAAGAAGTGTATTTCTCTCCTGGTCGCCTCTGCCAAGCTCAGCTTGTCGGTGACCTCCTGCTGGCCCCGGCACCTCACAATCATGTAGCCCTTCTTGAGGTGGTAGGTGAGGTTCTGCACCACATTCAGGACACCTTTTTCCGCACCCTTGTCCACTAGATCTGGTTTGGTCAGGATCCCTGTGAGATGGGTGGAGAAGGGCAGTGCATTGTCAGTTCTCCCCTTTCTTCCAAACGCATCTGGAACCTGCTGGGCTTTGAGGGCTTCTCTGTCCAGGACACCCAGGCCTTCTGCAGCCTCGATTCCCCAGTGCCTTCATTTATTCCATTGTTACTCCTTGTCATAGATTGAATTGTGTCCACCAAAAATATGTGTCAACTTGGGTAGGCCATGATTCCCAGTACTGTGTGATTGTCTACCATTTTGTCATCTGATGTAATTTTCCTATGTGTTATAAATCCTACCTGGTGAAGTTAATAAGGCAGGACTCAATCTACAAGATTAGGTTGGATTTAAGTCAATCTTTTTTGAGATATAAAAGAGAGAAGCGAGCAGAGATACACAGGGACCTCATACCACCAAGAAAGTAGTGCCAGGAACAGAATGCGTTCTTTGGACCTGGAGTCCCTGTTGCTGAGAAACCCCTAGACCAGGGGAAGATTAATGAAAAGGACCTTCCTCCAGAGCCAACAAAGAGAGAAAGACTTCCCCTGGAGCTGGCTCCCTGAATTCAGACTTCTAGCCTCCTAGACTGTGAGAGAATAAACTTCTGTTTGTTGAAGCCATCAACTAAAGTGTTATTTCTGTTACAGCAGCACTAGATAACTAAGACACCCCTCTTCTCACTGTTTACCTGCTGTATAATTTATTCAGCAAATGTTTCTCAGATGCCTGCTGTGGGCCAGGATGTAGGGCATCATCCTCAGAACAGACTGGATCCATCCTCCACGTTCTTCAGAATACCTTGTTTCTCATTGTAAGGGGGTCTGTACCCCCCGGTTACAGATTGAATTGCATCCCCTGAAAATATGTGTTGAATCCTAAC